GCCTGTTTTACGCGACTTCTGTTGCTGCTGTTGTTGCTGCTGCAGCTGCTGCTACCTTTGCTGCTGCTGCTGCTGCTGCTGCTGCTGCTGCAGTACAAGAACAGAAGATGCGTATACTACTACTGCTGCTGCTGCTGCAGCTGCTGCTGCTGCTGCTACTACTACTAAGACACCTGCTGCCACCACCGCAGAGCGACCAGCCCCAAGGAAGGCCTTGCATGGCTTTCTTAACAACAAAATGCATGCAGTGTCTTGCATGCAAAGAGACAGGAAGCAGCTGCTGCTGCAGCAGCTGCAGCAGCTGCAGCAGGAGGCAGCGGAAGAAGCTACAGGAACTAAGAACCTCAGCAGCAACTACTGCTGTTGCTGCTGTTGCTGTTGCTGCTGTTGCTGCTGGTGCTGTATCCTGTGCAGCAAATGCACAAGATAAGAAAGAGTTGCTGTGCAGCAGCTCAAGCAGCTACAGCAACAGCAGCAGCAGCAGCAGAAGGAACTGCAGCAGCAGCAGCAGCAGCAGCAGCAAATAGGAGGTATAGATGACCTGATGTATTGCTGCTGTTGCAGCTATATATATTTGTTGCTTATATCCCTAAGTTGGGGTGTATAGACACCGCAGCAGCAGCAGGAGAAGAACCAGCGGTTCTTTGCTGCTGCCGTCTTCCGTTGCTGCTGCTGCTGCTGCTGTTGCCTGCTGTTGCAGTTGCTGCTGCTGTTTGCTGTTGCTGCTGCAGCAGAAGAATCCTATTGAAGGGAAAGTTAGCAGCAAATGCAGCAAAATGTCTTATTGTATAGAAGAATCCTTATGTTGCTGCTGCCAATTAGTGCTGCTGTTGCTGCTGTTGTTGCTGCTGCTGCTGCAGTTGCTGCTGCTGCAGTGTGGTCGTCGGCAGCACGCGCGTCGTCCGTCGGCGGTGGTGCTGCTGCTGCTGCTGCTGCTGTGTAGCTGCTGCTGCTGCTGGTGATTCCGGTTACAATTGGGGTGTATAGGCACCTATTTAATTGTATTTTTTTTTTCTTTTTCTTTTTTTATTATTTATTTAATTAAATAAAAAAAAAAAGAAGAAAAAAGAATAATAAAAGCAGCAGCAACAATCGATTTATAAGAGGAGAGCAGCAGCAAAAAAAAGAAGGTAGCAGCAGCAGCAGCAGCAGCAGCAGCAGCGGTAGCGAGCTGTTGGTTGCTGTTGGTATACGGTTGCGCTGTGTCGTCGTCGGCGGCGCTACTGCTGCTACCGCTGCTGCTGCTGCTGCTGCTGCTGCTGCTGTTGCTGCTGCTGCTGCTGCTGCTGCTACTGCTGCAGCAAGAAGAAGACTCCTTCTTTAGGAACTTTTAAGGATTTTAAATTGAAGCAACAGAAGAAAGAATGCAAAAATGCTCGCAAGGAAGCGCTGCTGCTGCTGCTGCTGCTGCTGCTGCTGCTGCTGCTGCTGCTGCTGCTGCAGCGTATCAGCAGCAGACAGACAGCTGCTGCTGCTGCTGCTGTTGCGGTCGATTGCAGGCAGCGGGGGGCCGCTGCTGATGGCTGTTGCTGCTTCCTCCTTCTGCTGCTGCTGCTGCACAAATATATATAAAAGAAAAAAAAAACAGCAGCAGCAGCAGCAGCAGCAAAAAAAAAGAAAAGAAAGAAGAATTCCTTATAAAAGACAAAATTAAACTATTGCTTTTTCTCCTGTTGCTGCTGCAGCAAACCGCTGACGACAACAGCAGCAGCAGCAGCAGCAGCAGGTAGCAGCAGCAGCAGGTAGCAGCAGCAGCAGGTAGAGAGAGTGTAACTTAGGGTGCTGCTTGCTGCTGCTGCTGCTCCCTGACAGCAACGCAGCAGCAGCAGCAGCAACAATAAGATAGCTACCTCCTATTTTTTTTTATTTTCTTTCTTTTTTTATATTTAATTAAATAAATATATATTTAGATAGACTTATTTAGTCCCTTAGACAACAGATCCCTGCTGCTGCAGCTGCTGCTGCTGCTGCTGCTGCTGCTGCTGCAACTGCTGCTGCTGCTGCTGCTGCTGCTGCAGCGGACGGTCGCGACCTTCGTCCTCTATATATATATATGTGTATATATACAGCATAAATAGAGGAAACTTTTTGTCTTTCTTTGTATATAAAAATAATATAAAATATATTTATTTAATTAAAATAAATAAAATAAAATAAAAGAGAAGAAAAGAAGAAAAAAAGAAGAAAAAAAAAAGAAGAAAAAGTTGCGGTGTATAGGCAGTATATATATAACGATCTTTTTTTTCTTCCTTCCTTCCTTCTATGTTTATTTATCTATTTTTTTTTATTTTTTTTATTAATTTATATATAAATATAATATATTTAATTAATTTAATTAAATATACTTAATTTAGTTGCCTATACACCTCAATAGACACAAAAGAACAGATAAAAGACACGAACTGCTGCTGCTGCTGCTGCTGCTGCTGCTGCTGAGGTGTATACACCTCATAATAAGGAAGAAAAAGAAGGAAAAAAGAAGAAAACCTCTATATTTTAT